TTGTATGTTTCGTACCCAAAGAAGATAAATCTCGACAATAAAAGACACCACGATTGATTGAATTTCTCATGCCAGTTGGAAGATGAAGGTGGCGTGGGAGTTGAAAGAAGCTCTTCAGGCAGTATTGGTGTAAGGAGGATTAGGCCAACCTTTTTTCCAGGTGTGGTCTTACCAAACTACTGCTAAGAATGTGCCATCCCACATACGCTTGCTCCCAGGGCTGACAGGAAAACTGTGAGAATGATGACCTAACTCCTTGTTTTGAAACCTAGTTGGTGACAATGAGGTGTATAAGGCTGAAAAGTGATTTTTTTTTTCAGGAAATTCTTTACCTGGCCTCAGTGAATGTGCTTAAAATGTCATCTGAATATACAACTTCTTGGATAAGTTGCCATTTCAATCTCCACTCAAGTTGTAGGACTAAGTGGGAAATGAATGAGAGCATCAGCTAATGTCAATGGAGGATCTCACCCTGCAGGGGTCACAGATGAGTCTACATAAACCCCTTTTGATCTACTGGCAAGGACAGACAGCTTGCTGTTCTCAAGTGGCAGTCTGGCGTTGTGATCTGAGGTGTACTGGATGTGAGTATTGGCATGTGAACAGATATCAATATCTCACTGTGCAAATGGCCACGTATGACTGCAAAGATGAAACCTTCCTCCTAAACTGTCTGAGCTAATAGGTAGTTATGCATTTCACTTTTTAATCCTGAGAGATCAGGCTCATCGCAAACTCTTACAGGTCAGAGGAAGCCAACTTGTTACCCAGTAGGGTTCAGACATGGCTGTACTGCTACTACACAAAAGGTGTCCTCCATGGAAACCAGACATTTCTGCAATCATAAATTCCATCACTTAAAACAACAAACATCCGCAATAAAATTAAACACCTTTACCCTCCCAATTTGCTTCAATGACTTGCATGTGGTATCTAAGTGCTCTATACCATAAAGCTACCTGTGCCCTTCAACAAAGATATTTTACATATAGATTATCAACATGTTTTTCCAGACCAAAAGAACAGGAATTTAGGTTAATTTAATAGAAAAAATAAAATATGGAATAACATTGATTTTGGCCAATATCAATTACAACAGAACTACCCTATTTTACAAATAACAACTGAACATTTTACACATGTACAGTATTTTTTCAGTAAAAATGAATTTGGATATAACAATGTGTCAGTTTTTTTAAAGAAAACAAAGATATTAATTTTTCTCTATAATAGTGTTAGAGACATTTGTAACTATCCAAACAAATTCTTTACAATCCATTACATTAAATCTCAATTATGAATATATATTTATATATAATATATATATAATATTAACTTAAACTTTGAAAGCATTATGTTCTAGTTAAACATGTTATACTGAGAAATGAGGCAGTAACAGACTAGTAGTTAAACTAGCACAAATTGAATTCTTTTAAATTTAAATGTTTATCAGGAAATTTGTAATGGGCACAAAAGGAGCTTGATTGGCCCCCTGTCATACTGAACCAGGTTGTAATAGTTTATGTGCTCTCCGCTAAAGGTGGCACATTACCTTTAGGTTTGTACCCATTCATTTGTAAAACTTCCACAATAATTTTTGATCCTCTTTATTATCTAACATTTACATGCTTAAACACCTGCAATCCATTTTCTATTTGTGTTTCCTCTAAAGATAACTAAGACACTTTGCACGTTTTAAGTATTATCCCCTGAAAACAGTATCTTTGAAGTTCAATTTTCTGTTTTCTGCTAAATGACTGTCTTTTGAACAGTATGCTAATGCAACTGATGAAGACATATTAAAGATTCAGGCCAATCATGACATGATTGTTACACCAAGAGAACCATTGATTTATTGCCCTATATGTAATTATTCCTGGAGATGTATATGGCATAATTATAAATCCAGTCCTGTAAACACATCCTGTCGCATATAGTCACACTGACATTTATGTATGGGCACTATGAAATAGCTCCATATATCTGTATGATAATATCCCCTTTTTTGTGAAAGTTACAAGACAACAATAATTTATGAATACTTCTTACATGTTAGCAACGTTTTCTGACTTTCGAGCGTATACATTACTCTCGCTTATGCAAACCAAGAGAAGTAGTATCTTTTGAATTTGTTCACTACAGGAACAATGTTTTTTTTTAAAGTTTATTTGAAATAGCTTTGACAATTTAAAAAAATAAAATAAAAATCCTAGCATATCTGTTAATAAGCTAGCTGTCTAAAAATGAAATCTATATGTGCTGTCTAAAAATGAAATCTATATGACCAAAACCACATTTTGGGCAAACATATATACATACTGCATGTGATACAAAAAACAGCACACAGCAGAGGAAGTAAGAAATAAATGTGTGCAGAAATGTTCACTTTTCTTTTTTTAAATACTGATACAAAAGGGGCAGAACTTAGTCCTGCATCTAATGATATTTCTGATCCCCTCAGGAACTCAAGTTCCCCCTGTCAATACATATAGCACAAAAAAGACTAATGCAAACATTTTTGTATTGTTTAGTTTTAATCCATGTAAACTTGTGTTGTATTCTTGAAACACTCTTTAAACATCTTGAAGGGGAAAGAAGCAGGAAAAAAAGGGAAGAAAAAGGACCTTCAAAAAACAGGAATAATCCTAAGGTTGACAGGAAATCAAATCATGAGTTAAACGTTAATTTTGGCATCAAATGCTTTGGTCACACAATACTGACTCTGTGATCCTGGATGCTCAGCTCTAGACACCCAGTTATGAAAGGTAGGTGTGTTGTAGTTTTTCCATTCAAGTTCCAACAAACAGTTCACCATCTCCCCAGACAAAGAGGAGGGAGAGAGAGAGGTGGCTTGCTTCCCCCCCCATTTCTTTTTTTTAACCTTTTTCAATAATATGGATTAATCGTCAGTTCACCCCTTGTGCGTACATGTTCTGCAACACAGTTGCTGAAGCACTTTCCGCTGGCAGAGATTGTTCTTTTTCACCAGCATACAGAATCCTCCCTCGGCCCAGGACTCTTCCGTGGCTTCCGGAGGGCAGCAGCAAGAGAAGGAGGGGAGGTTGAAGGTTTGGAGAACATGGCGTGTACAATGGAAGAAGATTTAATTGGTCAGACAGGCAGATTTGGTTGAAGAGACCATTCAGGAGCAGGTAGCAAGTAGGAAATTTGGTCCATCAAAAGGAATTTCAGTCAACAGCATTTTTTTTTTTTTTTTCAGGAAGAGATATTGTGTGGTCCGACAGGGAATGATTGGTATCCATTTGTGAAAAAGAAAAAAAGATTAGAAACAGAATAATTAGAAAACAGTGATATTTACAGCAAAGGAATTTGTTCTCAATTTTTATGAATCAAAAGAATAAAACAGTCAAACCACAGAAAAAGAATAAAACATTCTCAACAGAAACACAAATCCTATAGAGTGAGTTAGACTAGCAACCAGTGCTTGATTGTCAGTGAAATGAGACCCTCTATGCTTTGTAATTAACAGGAAAAAAAAAACCCTTCCGAACTTTCCTTGGCTACCCTAGACTGTTGAGAATACGAGCTGTGTGGTGGGATCCAGCATGGCGCATTGCAATTGCCTGAAGGCCCACACACTGATATGTTCCCCTTTCATGCCAGCTGCACTTGGAAGAATGGGGGAGACAGTACTGAGATGGGGCGTCCCCAGTCCTGGGCAAATACATGTGTATCTGATTGAAGTTGCATGTGTACAAATGAGGACAGTTTCATCCAGCCACATTAAAGACCAAACTGGTAGGTCAAATATTTTCATTGCAGAATTTAACTGCAATACCATGCTGAGACTGTGCTTACTCAAAACTCTTAGCATTACACTTCCTCTTCATTTGTCTGTCTGTATCTGACCTTCTCTGGACTTGCTCTAGATTACAATGACACTTCGAATGTCCTGATGTGAAAAGGTCTCATGACTCGTTTACCAATACCTGTAATGTAACTTTACAATGGACAGGATACTTTTAAAGGTTTGAAGGCCTAAATTCCAACAGCAGATGTAAAGGACCACAGAAACAAGACTCAGCCCTGCACTCTTTCTGTTTTCTTTTTTTAAGTCTTTCGTAAAACTCTTACTAAATCTAGTGGAAATGAGCTGTACCCAAGAATCATTGTTAGCTTTTTGTACATCAGATGTCAGGTCTCCCACATGGCTTAACACCGGACTTTGTTCTGGTATGATTTTCCTGTTGGACTGCACTTGTTGGGCTGTATCTCCAAGTAATTCACATAGTAACATTTTTGGGGAAGCACGATGTTACCTAAGTGTCTCTGTAATTGTGACATTTGAAACGAATATTAGTGAATAATTAAGCCAATCATATGGAATAAGAATGCTATCTTGATTGCCACAGAGAACGTGGAGGAAGTTCGAAACTCCACCACAAATTGGTGCCACCTATTTCAGAATTCTTTTGTTCTCATTACCCTTTCACATAATTCAAGCAATACTACAGGCACTTAAAATCCTTTTTACTTACCATCATTTTCACAGTTTAAAGTGGCAAAATAGATGTGATTCTATTGATAGTACACTAGGGCCTTCATATAAAAATCTTTTGAAAGCAATGGCTTTTGAAAAACAGACAAGGAAGGAAAAGTAGGTTGCTGGCAGGGGGGAATCCTAGGAAAATTCAGGTAAAGTGGATGTGACTAATCTTGTTAATGCATGCAAATGTAGTTTTCTCCTTTTCATAAACCTGAAAAAATTAAGAAGTAATGGAGACCTCAAATCAAGACTGTAACAAAAGAAAAGAAAAGAAAAGAAAAGAAAAGAAAAGAAGAGAAGAGAAGAGAAGAGAAGAGAAGAGAAGAGAAGAGAAGAGAAAAGAAAAGAAAAGAAAAGAAAAGAAAAGAAAAGAAAAGAAAAGAAAAGAAAAGAAAAGAAAAGAAAAGAAAAGAAAAGGACCAAACCAACCCAATACATATAAAAAAAGAAGCTGACAGTGGTAAAATGGATCTTTTCAGAGAATTGCACTCACCATCCTTGCAGACTGTTCCCACTACACAGACACCAGTGTCTAGGTTATAGCCACTTGGACAGCTTGTACAGTTTCTGTCTCCTTGACCACTGCAATCCAAACAGCTGGCATCGCATCTGAAAGACAATGGCAGGAATTGGTCTTACGGCCTCCTCAAATATAAGAGCTCCTAGGAGACCTCTTCTGTATTGCAAAGGGCTTGTTTGCTGCTCTAATAACAATAATAATAATTAAAAATAATTAACTTCCTCTGCAACCCAGTCCTGTTTTTTTCCTCCAACCACTTTCTATTCACACTTTTTTACTAAACAGCTGCATTATTCTAGTATTTTGTAACTACGCAGAACTAATCAACAGAAGTATTAAGCTGATCATGCATACGTGCACCAGCAAGGCATGAGCTAAAGTGGCAGGATGGAAAAGACTGACCTGCTGCCCAGTCCTTTTATCAGCTTTCTGGGTCCATCACATTTTCATTGTGTATTGATAAATTTTTTGTGTGGAAACCTGTAACACATGGTGATTGCCTTCCTGCCCTGAACTCAAAGTGAGTCAATAATAAATGATTCCAAAGGGCAACAAATGATATGTATTTAACAAAGAATGGAATAGAAAAAAAATGTCCCCTCCTTGCACAGCACAGCCTTGTCCAAGATTTGTCCACCCATTTGTACACTGAGTCAAGTCAGCTATTCTGGACAGTAGTCTGGTAATATACTTGTGCCATTGTTTGTGAATATGCAGCTGAAGAACTGAAATGGTCCTTATGAATAGTAATTAACTTGCAATTAAAAAAAAAAACAACTTAATTTGACTATTTTGGTTTGTTACTCAGAAATGCAGATCCTCTGCCAGATTTGCAAATTTTACATTTCTATGGATGTCTGCTTAGATTCTCACTACAGGCTTTTTTAAAGTGAAGGACAGACATATACGTCCAAGAAAAAACACTTTTAGAAGACCTGCATGAATATAACTCAGACTAAAATGAAAAAAAAAAGCTTTTCCTTCATTTGCTTAGCATGTAATATATTTTTCCTATTTTTTGAAGTCAGTAGCATTTTATGTTCTCATAAGTATTATCTTTTTCAACACAGTAATAGCTAATATACTGCCAAACATCAGACATACCTTTTGCAGCTTTTGTATCCACTTTCAGCAGAGTGATCAAGGTAGTAACCACTGCTACAGGACTGTACACATCTTCCATCTTCCATAAAATAACCCTGTGTGCAGTTTATACAGGCATCTACTCCAGCACCTTAAACCAGAAAGAAAACACACTGTATTACTGGCTAGTTCCTCTTATTGCCTAACAGACACCACCTCTAACTGTAGTAAAATTTTACAATTTTAGGAACTATGTTTTACCTGCCTTACCTTCTTTCAAACAGTAACATAAAGCAATAAAGGTACATGGTTAGAATAAACAACATTACATAATTTCAGTATATCTTTTTCTGAAAGAAATGGCTGTTGGTAGTTCTAAAGTTCACACAAAACCTATCAGTCATTATTCCATACCAGAAAGAAAATGGAGGGCATTACTGGAAATCAGAATGAGCTCTACTAAGAGAAAAAAAAAAAAAAAAAGGGAAAAAAGAGGAAAAAAGAGAAAAAAAGAAAAAAAAGAGTGTATGTACACTTTCAATTAGAAAACTTAGATTTTCATGTTAGCTGAAAGAGTTCTGCTGTATTAAAAACATATTAAAGAACTATCAAGAGAATTAAGTTTTTATATGTAAACAATCACATTATACTGTAACTGTGATATAGTAGAATAAAATCAGAGCTAAAAATATAGAGGAAAGGAAATGATGCAGATAAATGTCAGTGGGGTACCTGCACATGTTGCACAGGAACGGTGACATGGTTCACATTCTTTACCATTGTGGTATTTTCCTTCTTCACAGCGGATAGCACATTTAGTGCCATGCAAACTATTGTAGAAAGGAAAAAAGCACAGTGTTTGGGCAGCTAACAGCAACAGAGGACAACAAGGTCATGCACAAACCAATAGTTCTCTTTTAATAAAAGAACTACCCATATATTAGAATTCACCAGCTTCCTTCATTGGTCATATTTTATAAATTTAGAGACAGCAATCACTTCAAGTGGGAATGAAATGCAGTTTTGCCCATGGTGAAATACAGAAACTGTTTACAAACTCCTTGTAAATACTATCAAGTAGTAGGGGCCAGAAAAGAAAATGAACAATGCCAAAGAGTACTAAAAATTCAGCCATGTAAAATGCAATTACCCACAAGGAATTTGGCACAGGGTCAGCACCACTGTATTAAAAAAAAATGCAAAGGGACTTGTTAACAAAATCTCATGCTTCTCTTGAAAGACCAGTAGCATCTCCTGATACTATTGCTACAGCACAGGCTAAGAACAGATTCACAGTGAAGGAAATCACCACCTCTTTCTGCAATAGCAGTTTCCTTTCAAACCTCCTAACTGAATGCCAGTTCTGAGTGGCCTGGGAGATTTGTCAAGATTACAGTCGGAGGTATTCTGCCCGCAGGCACTTCTGAGAGACAGCACAAAAGAGTGAGTAACAGAGGAAAAAGAAATAGCATAGAGAGTCACATTTCCGTGCTTCCCTCTAAATAGCTGTTTATGCTTTCATGTTATAAGGTGTCTACAGCAGGTTTGGTTTATTTTTTTTTCTTTTTAAGCTAGGACTTCTCTGCTGTGTTTGCCATCTTCTGTGGAACCTCAGCTTTCATCCAATTTAACTCTTTCTCTAAAAATGCTCTTCAGCTCCGGGGATTACAACCCTGAGTGAGTGCTAACCCTGTTTTAGAGACTGGATCCAGCAAAAGTTGTGTGTGCTCAGCACCACTGGAAATTTTCAAGACTGTATATGGTCCCAATTTAGAAAAAAATTAAAGTAGCAGTTGAACACACCTAACCACCCCTGCTTTCTTATTATTTTTCCTCAGCCACACACTTCAAAGTGCTTCACAAGGCAGGTAGCATTATCATTTTTTTACAGATGGGAAAACTAATAATTTGCCCAAGTTTCTTTAATGGGCCAGTAACAGGATCAGAACTGAAATCCAGGTCTCCCAAGTTCCAGCCAGGGCCCTGCCCATCGATAACTGCTAAAAAAACACAGCAAGTTTCAGACAACTGGGAAATACGAAATGCATGTCCTGCAAGACTCCATTTATCTGTCACACCCACACAGATGGTGTTTTTTCAAAATGTTACAAAAAATCAATCTCAGTTTGCTGATATTGCCCAAGAAAACATGAAGTTTGGTTTCTCTTGATTTTTTATATGTCAATTTGTCTTTCTCTTCTGACACTGAGTGGACTTGTCTGCTTTCTTCAGTGGTGCTACAAGCTGCTGTTTGTGTTAATGGACACGGAAACTCAGTTCCTGAGAAATAAAGAAAACATGGGCATAACTTTTCTATAAAAACTGTGTCCTATAAGGTAATCTATGTAATCTTTGTCCTCCTGACATATTTGCCCATTGTAGTAACTTCTAAACTGCTAATTTACTAATCTGATTTTGCAGATACACAGAAGGTCATTCTGAGTCTGTTAAAATTCTCCAAAATCATAACATGGACTGCAAAGTTTAAAAACATTTTAAAAGGGAAGCAGATACTCATATTTCACAGAGAATGTAAATAGACCAATGTTCTGATCTGATCCCATGCTTTCCTTCCCATTAAATCACACTTCCTTTTCAAAGGGTCACTTCTAAAGAAATAGAGATATTCGTAATAAAAATTGTGCAGGCACTTAGAAAATCTAGATGCAACACAAATACACAGAAATGAGAATTACTTTACAAAATGTAAAGGAATCCAGCTCTTGATCTCCTAGAAACAAACAACATTCAGCTTTTACTAAGAGATGAAAATCCACTTTGACAAAGTAGAAGCTCAGTGTTAAAACATTCGCAGAACACTCGTATTCTGCAAGAAGAACCCCTACAGATACTGAATACTGACTTCATATTTTTTGTGGAATACAGCCAGCATACATTCCGTCATGAGTTTTATAAGATTTTTGACCTTTGCTGCTTGGATCAAAAGGTCATTCATTCATAAAGAAGCTTGAAATGTGTACTGCTGCTTTGTAGGTTTTACCTATCAGTTTCAAAAATGGTTAAGTCCCCCTACGAATAAAAAATATCCACTGCTGTTTAAAATATGTGCACACTATATTGTAATAGAATTGAGCCTGAGGTACTTGAGATAAGTGAATGACTGGATGTATGAAGAAATACAATAAAGATAAGAAAATAGTTTCTAACTATCACAGAAATGAATCAGAAAGATTAATATGATTCATCAGCTCTACCTCTAAAATAATCCTTGACTGCCACACTGTAGGTCAAAAAAGTGATGAAGCCAGCTTTCCACATGACTGTGGCTTTTATTTTACCTGAAATGAAAGGTCTTCCAAAAATCCATTGTTAGCCAAACTAGCACAAAGTAGCACAAGAAAAAACTAAACCGCAATGGAACACATGAAATGAGGGCCACTCAAGGTTAAATAGCTATCTGATGTTCTTCATTGTGTATCCACAGCCTTGTAAGCCTCTTCAGGTATTGTGTTTAGCTACATCCATCATTTCCTTACCTTAGGCCATGTTTGCATTCTGTGCAGATTTGGAATTCAACACATGTCTTACAGTTTTCACTACATTTTCGGCAAACAATCTTATCTACAAAGGAAAAAAAGAAAACAGCCCAGAAAACCTTGGTCAGTTACGTTTAATAAAACTATATAGGTATATTATTACATGACTTATTGCTTTCTAGTTTGACACCAGGAAAAGAAGCTGCAAGCTAGACTAAAATATCTAAATTCTGCCTATCATTAACTTTTTCCATCAAACATCAAATGGTTTAATCTATTTCTAAACATTTGAAGTTAAAGTTGTACCCTGACAAAAAATATGCTTTGAGGTCGTTAAAAATTCTTCATAAACATTTTAAATTTACATTAACTATTTATAATATGGACCTAAATTGTCTTTTCATACAGCAGTGATATACAGTAATGATTATCACGTGTTGCAGAGACTGTTCTGCAATTTACCTCTTACACTTTCCATGCAGGCAGCCTGTCCTGTCTTACCTGATTTGGTGCTTAAAGACACACCTGCATGAACAGGTCTGATCTTAACAAAGCCAACAAATAAATTACTTAACACCTGCCTTTTCATCTCAGGAGCTCCCTACAGAGATGTCTCTCTCTCTTCAGTGCTGTCTTTTGAGCTGCAGTGCTGTGTACCTTTCTGAGAAGAAAAACCTTACGTTCCCATTTAATCCTAAATTTTCATCTATCCATCTTAATCGGGTAGAAAGGAATTCCCTTTACTGTAGTTCTCACACAGTGAAAAATGGGAGAATTAAAGCAGTACCTGTTTTTACTAATCCTCAAAAATGAACACACAGCTTCATGATGCAGAAAGCAGGTTAGGTACCTAGATGAACAAAGCTCCTGAGCAACTTATTTATGTTCTAAGGATGTGTATGAAGATAACTGAAGTCACTGCAGTTTTAAGCGCATGTTTGAATATATGTCTAAGCATTTTTGCTAGCCAAAGCTGGAAATTAAACAGGGGCAGTCTACTTGGCAATCACAGGAGGAAACAGAAGGCAGGCGCCTCACATGGCAGACAATTACTGCTCTTGGGTCATCACATCGCTGCAGGTACTTAGGTCTGTCAGAAACATTAATTGCAACCACGTTTTACGTCTGAGGAGTCTATTTTTTCTTAGAGCTCCAGTTCAGTGTCCATGGTTGATTCCTCAACTCTCTGTTCTATCTGGTGAATTTGGGGGAATGGCAAATGCCTCATGTTCAGAATGCAGGTGCTGTCTGTCCCTTCCTGGAGTAGTGATAAGCTACTCTGTCCTGCTGCTGACTTGCTCTTGAACTGCTCTCATTCTGCTACTGTTGCTCCCAGCCACAAGAAGAAAAGACATCCTGCCACTAAGTATGGTTTTTAAAACAAAGGAAGATTTGTGAGAGGCTTCTTGATCACACTTGGCAACAATTTAATAAGGGGAATAGGATAAGAGATAGATGCATCAACATAACACTTTTCCTGCTTGTAAGTATTCCAGCAACCTCCCCAGATCAAATTCTGTAGCCCACAATAAAGAAACAACAAGAAATACTAACTCTTATCCAGGTAAAACCCATCAGGGCAGTTGGTAATACAGCTATTGGTTACTTCATTCAGGTAGTAGCCAGATTTACAGGTCATGCACTGGTCGCTATGGCCTCCAACACAGGTTTCACAATTGGGTGAGCATTTTTTACAGCGTTTCTTGTCTGCATTGTAGTGACCAGGTGGGCAGGTCGAAACACAGATCCTGCAGACAGCAGGGAAGAGAAGGCAGAGTCGTTAATGAAATAACCTGCCACCACATTCCTGGACCATGACTGCAAAGCAGAAGTATTTCTCAGCATTGCTGCTTTTCTAATGATCACATGTTTAATAAGATGTAACCTTCCAAAGCATTGTATCAAGCTGTCTCTTCTTGTCCATTTATTTCCC